AAATTTAATTTCAAGGATGTTGTATTCGCACTCAATCACGCATGAAGCACTCATTCACGCATGGGACTTAATCTAATTATAATCATCAAAACCAGATTCAGCATTTATGTAATTGTTTCAATACCTGAATAACTTGGGCTGAAGAAAATGGCGTATCTGCTAAAGATTTATAATTCTTCGAAGCATGCGAGAATAGGTTTTTAAATAAGGAGTACAAGTGGCATACAAACAAATAGGTACTAACGATTATTTTAAACTATGTCAACTAAGTAATTAGTTACATTTGATTATGTTAGTTGGTTAGTGAACACCAATAAACATATACGTTGTACCTACTCCCTTTAGGAAATACTCCATTTTATTTATTATGAATTTTTCTATACAATCCAGTAATCAGAACATTTCAAAATCCGGCACCATTACTGTACATTATTTGAAGGCTTTTTTGTGACTCAGTGTTTTCCTATATTTTTAACGAGTATGTCGTGTTGTTACAAAATAAGACTGTACTTTATCTCTCACCGTAGTCTGGATCCATTGATTTTGTCAGTAAGTAAGTAAACACTTTTCGATGACTTCAAAAGAATTTTACAAAACGGGACCCGTCCGTCACTTTTTTAACGATTACGTCACTACATCATAAAAATTTCACAGGTACCTTAGTTCAGTGACCCAAAAATGTATTCAATAACTCTAATAGTTCAGAAAATAAATGGAAGCAGGAGATATAAACGCGCACTGTATAGTAAGAGATACTGACATATCTATGACATCATTTTTGGAGCCATTAGTTGTTGTTAGTTTTTAATATCCGTTTTCATCGTCCTATAGAAACATTTCTATCGTCCTCATTCTATAGAAATTTCAACAGTAAAAGCAAGAAGAAAAAAATGAAATACATATACAGAGAAGTAAAGAAAGGACCAGCAAAAATGTTCTTCTGAATGGTAAACATAATTATAGAACACTTTGTACTTTATTTATTTAATTTTTAATATATACCATGTCTAAATGGCAAGACGAATCCCCAAGCTGAAAACTGAGCCTCAATAGATCGCAGCATGGCAACTGCTCTACCAGATACAACACCTTGCGAGGTACGTAAGTCGTTTACAGACAATTCTGAGTTGCAAACATCGAAAATATTATACTTAATTACTCATATGCGACCGTCTAATGATTTGGTCTAATTCAAGGATCGATCCCACCGTAGGCCGATATTCTCAGCGAAAATATGGGCTAGTTCGATAATCGTAGAGAATTACGATTGCCCAGTAAAGTCAGATTGTTTTGAACCTTTTGTCCCTCGGATGGTAGCTTAGCACCATTAATCACTCGTGTAAGTGCGTTAACTCAATTTTCGATCCTGCCGTTTGTTTGGTACTAAGCAGGTTTACTACAGCAATGACGAGTAAAACTTACCTACCTTACAACGGTCTAAATTTAGCTCACGATACCTCTCTAAGGGTGAATAATCCAATGCTTGGCGAATCCTTTTTTTCAATTATACGAAGAGCCGACATCGAAGGATACCTCGCCTGTCGGTGTCCCCAAATCGAATCAGGCTTAGCTGACAGTCGAAACATAGTATGCCAATACTAACCTGATATCCGAAAGGCAAGCCTTATCGGAACCACGAAACTGAGTAATGCCATAACGCAAATAAAGGTCACTCCATGTCCTTGACTTAAGAATGCCGTGACAGTCACCGTGGATAAACGACGCACGCGTCGTTGACCCTGGATGAAAATATGAAAGTCCCTAGAAGAATGAAAATAATCAAAATATGAATTAGTTACAAAACTCAGTAGAACAGTTTACAATGCAAGAAATCATCTACTATTACCTACCATTTACATCTTTTGAATATCTACAGCAATATTTTTTAGCTTTATAGTTTTTTATTTATATAATTAAAACATGAAGAATACTTTACTATTACCAGTATGGGAATAGTATTACCTGGTAACGATTTTTTGGTCTATCTAGTTAATTTACGGATATGCTATTTTGCGTTCTGACTGATCTTTTTTATACATAATTTTTAAGAGTAAAGACATCCATAAAATATTTTTATAAAAAATTTATATTCGGCAATAGTTAAGTATATCTGTTATGTGTATAGCTGTGCTGTGCTGTGTATAACTAAGTAAATATACACGTCTTGGTTTAAAATTTCTTTAAAATGTCGTTTAGCTAGAGAGGTTGACTGATCTTTTCCTTTGCGTTTTCTTTCTATTGCTTCGCGAAGAACCTCCTAGCGCTCACCTCTTTTAATCCTGCTTAAAATTATATACATGATACATACATATAAATGTGTTTTTCATCAGAAGATGGTTATCTCTCTTCCTTTTAAAGATGGAATCTTCATATACCTGCCTGTTGCATGCTTTGTTAATCGATCCATTTCTTTTGGGGACGATCCAGGCTCTGATGTCCTACTTGTAATTTATCTTGAGGGATTCTTACAACTCTTACATTTTTTTAATGTGTTTATTCCACTATTTTTTCTTTTAATACAAAGTTATGAATATCTCCCGCATTGCATGTGTGTCTTATGGTTTCGTTTCCTCGTAAATTGGTGTAAAATCATTGCAGATCGATTCTGTTGTTCGCTATTAGCAACACATAAAATTCGTGCACTTCGTAGCATAAAATGTTAATTTTGTTTTCTCTAATTTTACATACTTTCATTTCATGGTGATATTAAGTAGACGGGCGCTCCAGTGTCTCTCCGACTAATTCCATTCCAGCCGGTATTGGTTGATTAAGTTCCTCGTTTTTCTTTTTCACACAGTTTTTTGATTTTATTTCTTATAACCCTTTTGTAAGTTTTAATGTGGTGGTCAGTAAATTTATATCTCTGTTATTTAAGGGTACTTCTTATAGACTTTTCTAAACGAAGTGCTTATCTGTCATTCGTTTGAGGTTTTTTGGTGGTATAAAAACTTGTAGTAATCTTTGTGCTATAAATTTTCTCCTATGTATTTCAGTAAATAGTTTGGAATTCCATCCTGTCCAGGACCTTTTTTACTCTTTGACTTACATAACCTCGTTTTTTATTAGACAGTTCGTCGACAGATGATATATAGTTGATGAAAATATCCCTTTTTCGTTGGGTGTTTGATCACGAGCACAATAGCTGCAACATATAGAGGAACATTTTGTAACCAACCTTACATATGGTCAGTTCTTACGGAACTTGGGACTGGAAAGTGAAACTTAAATATGTACATAAGATGTGTGTTCACGTAATATTATTTATAATTAGATGAGGTTGTCAAATAATAATCATTACCACCAAATGCAACATACTTGTTAGCATTTATAGAATCTATTCTTCATTCGTTCGTGATAGATCTTGTATTTTTGATCTTAGGCGGGATACTACTCTGTCATACATGGTTGTACAACCTTTTTTTCATTAAAACTTTAGTAGATTCCTCGGACGGACTCACAGTCTGAAAATTGCAATATATCTTACACACCTGAACTCTAAGCTGTATCTTTCAAGGCTAGTATACACACACAAATTCTGATAAATGCTTAATATCCAGATATAATGTTCGTTAATAAAAGTTTCCAGTGTGACTATTTGATTGGACTCTGGTTCAGTCTGTGCGTATCTATTATAGGTTTAAACTTCAGCGAGAAGTGCTAGAGATAAAAGACATCAACTTTCTTATGGAAATTGATGTTCAGGTTATTGCATCAGTGAAATATCTTCTGTTTATGTGGATTCCTCTTTGGTGTACTGCCTGTAAGTGATTGTCGCAGGCTTTGTTTCATTCTAGTGCACCTGTTCAGTTATACCTCTGACTCTTTATCGACCGAAAATACATGTAGTTTTCCATGGCGGGGTTTTACCACTGATTCCACCGTAATTCTTTTATTTTGATTTCCCAGAAGAACTGAAAATTTCAGTTCCTTGGGTCAGCTTCCGTCTATTAAAGCAGTTTTGTGACTTCCATCACCACAGAGAGGTTGCAACTCTGCTTTTCTCTCGGGAAGACTTCTAGTAGACGCAATGGTAGTGGTTCTTATCCCGATATCTCTTCCTTAGTCTGATTAGCATCCTTTTTGGAAGTAGTTTTTTTTAGATTTTTTAGGGCTTATGTTTTTTTATTTGTTTTAATTTGTTCCATTTTGTTTACACAACTATGGGAGATTTACACAGTTCCCAATGCATAAGGTTTGAAATGAAAGGAGGTGCCCTCTGATACCTTTGGTAGACTGTTCGCTACAGTTCTTTCTAGAAACACACATCATTCAGCTTTGGCACTATATAATACACCTTTACTTGCGTGGTGAAAGTTCTTGAGTCTGCGCTGCGTGACATAAGTTCCTTCATCACGCCAGTCAAAGTGGAATAGTACCATGGAAATTCGTAATGGATGGGTTTCATTGTGAAAGTGAGTAACAGTTTAGATACTAACATTTTGATAATAGTAATATTTTTTGGCATATGAGGTTTCTAAAATCAGCACTTAAAAAAGAAAATAATGTTAAAGTATTTTAGTAAATAAATTAACCAGCTGAAAGTATTGTCTTGTATTAGTTGTCAATTTTTAATGTATAAAAAATATCAAAAGGACCCACTATAAATATGAAAAACATTGTAGTTCTTCAAAGTTACAAAACTTTTTATATAGTGATGGCTCTCTGTCTTTAGAAAAGTTCTATATTTGGTTTATCTTTGTTAGTTTTTTTATTTTATTCTATTTTTAAAGAAACTGAGCCATTGTGTATATTTCGTAATTATTTTTTTATTTTATTTTTATTTAGCAAGTTTTGTAACATTTTAAAAAACCAATAATTAAATGACAGAATGGGTAACATTTTTTGAAAAAAAAAAAAACACGATAAATAGAGATATATATTTCAATAATAGTTTGAGAACCACTTTTCAATTCTTTTAGTAGTATATTCATAGAGCACTTGTTTTTTCTGCTCTTTGCGGGTTTTATACAATATAATTAAATTGGTATATTTTTTCACAGAAAAAACGATCTTCAAAAAAGAGGAAGTATTCATCCGATGAAAGTTCCTCGGATAGGTAAGTGGACTTGTAGTTTATATCGTTTATAAATATGTTTAAAATGTCCTACGTACAATTTAATTCCTTCAATCCACCTTTTTCTTTCTTTTCTATCCTTTATATACGTACGACCATATAGTAAGTAAATAACTCAATCATGCAATTGCTTTTTTACTGACTACGTCTTTCTGCAATTGCTTTATAGAGTATACTATCATGTAATATGCTCAGTCTATAATATGTCTAATCTTTACATTGACATATATGTACTTTTTCCGGTTTAAAGCAGTAAGTCCTATTGTATTCCCCATAAACACATGTATTTAATTTTTTGCAAATTTACTTATATTCCCCCTATCTTCTATTCGTCGATAATCTTGTGTCATACATTCAATGACTTATTAGCCTTGAGGTAAAAGTATTTGCGAAGGAAATACAGATTAAATTATTTTAATCTAAACAGAATGTTTGCTCGTATTGTAGTTCTTGATTATAAGCCATCTTCTCTTAAATAATTTGTGTCACGGAATAAAGGTAATAGGTAATCGAACTACCCGTTTGAAATTCTACCTGTTTTTTCGCCTCAAATTTTGGTATTCCTCCTCAATTTTATTTGTATTGGTTTTCTTTTGTCATCTAATGGTACTAAATGGTAAAATTTCACGATTAGTCCAAGATATAAGGGTTTTCTCTGATTTTTTATATTCGTAGATTTGCTTTTGACAGTAGGTAGAAAATATCGCAAGGATAAAAATATATTCTATGCCAATAACTGCTTTTTTTGCGGGTGGTTTCCACCCCAACTCTTGGTGGATTAACAAAATTGAAGGGAGATGGGCGATAGTTGCTCGAGATAACTTACTACTAAGGCATTAGATGTCCCCTAGAAAAGGAGCGATGACCACAGCACGGAGGGGATGAAATAAGCATTTTTTTCTGAAATTAAGAACAAAATCTTGAAAACCGAATTTAAAAAGGCTCTCAGAAAAATAACAAAGCTCTGAGAGGAAATGGCATTACAGTAAAACCTCCTTTAACCGAAACCTTTTTAAACATCGTTTAACCGAAACGGCTGACAGTTTCAATAATTTCGTCAATAAAAAATAAATTTTTATCGCAAAACGTAAAAAGTTCCATTAATTTCACTCACCGATTGATGTCGACGTGTGTTGGGAAATAAAAAAAAAACTAAGAGCTCTAAAAGATATTTGAGAAAAAGCACTTCCAGTTTTTTATAGAAGCCCTCATGTATGTCGACCACTTTATTTTCAGAATGGTTCGAAAATGAATTCATCACAAGTGTAAAATCATTTTTAAAATAAAAACCTTCCCATCTAAGCATTGTCGCTTGTTAAAAATGCGCCAACTCACCCTCAAAATCTACACAATAGTGTAGATTGTCAGATTTTTGCCACCTTATGTCACGAGCATAATTCAGCTGTTAGACCAGGGAGTAATAGAGATATTGAAGAGACATTATAGAGGAGCATTCTTAAGACATCTGTTATTACAGGAGATGAATTAATCTAAAAGTGTTCCCGAAATTCTCAAACCTTCAACAATGAAACATGTTATTTATCGGTGTGCTGAATTATGGGCCAAGATCAACTCTTTAACTTTGGAAAAATGCTGTAACTAACTTTTTGATTGGATTTTGATTGACGATCCTGAAGAAGAAAATGGTAAAGAAACGACAGAAGAAAATAAACCTTTAATAAAAAATTTGCCAGGATGTGACGAAATTAACCAAGAAGAGATACGTGAGTGGTTAGCAGCCGATAACTCAGAAAGTGAATTCATCGACCAGGACATCATTGATATGGTTCTTCGTCCAACTTGAGCGTATCAGACGACGAAGATGATGACCCAACATACAGCAGGCAATATGAGACTGACGACGAGATTTTCAATGCCTTAAGGATAAGAATTTTATACAGTAGGCCTAATTAGTTAGGGACACTACTAGGTTCTTAATTTTAGTTGTCATTTGATAAAGTTTTGTCCTTTTTATATTGCTTTACTTTTATATTTTTCTTCGAACGATGGAATGAGGCAAACTCACGACGTTCTGCTGTAAATGAACGATGGAGATATATAGCTGCAAAATATCGTTATCAAACGATAACGCAAAAGAAAATAGAAGATTTCTTTAAAAAAGCATGTTAAACTTGTTCATTTTCCTTAGTGTTATTACTTTATTCTGTATTTACTTATTAGAAAACATTACGAAATTACCACATAGTATTTTTTTAATACCAATACTTTAACCAAGAATACTATAAAAAACAATGTTATTTTTAACCGAAATTCTTGTTATCCGAAACGGATAATTATTTCGGTTAACAGAGGTTTTACTGTAGTTCTAAGCAAATTAATGACATGGCACATATTTTCATTGATAGTGTTCTATACTTTTGAATGGACGTCTCATGTTATTCTTTATATCAAATAATCTGTCGTTACCCTCAACGAAGAAGTCTTCTGCCCTTGATAAAAGCGAGCAACTTTATAGGGAGTTTAGGAGTTTTTCTTGTTCAATATCTGTTTTGTCGGTGTCTTGACTCATTTAACTAAGCAATTCATATTCACAGAGGACATATCTGACAGTTTCTCCCTCCATTTGACAGTTTCTGCATCATGATTCACTCACCCTATCTATGTTGTATGGGATTTTTCCTCAATTGACCGTTCTCATCTCTCTGCTGCTAAGTTTCATTAAACTAACTAAAAGCCTTTTGTCAATGATCTTAATGATTTTCTTTATATGAGTTTGCTTCTGCTCTGCACTCCATTTATTTTTATGGCTTTTTCAAACAACTTTAATTTGACTTTAATGTTTCTTAATACCACAGAAGCGTTCTGAATCTTCAAATATTCCCCTAAAATCTTGCTTTCGCTAGTCGAGTTTGCTAGTTTGTTCCTTTGCACTTCTTCATACCCCAACCCCCATCTTAGAGATACTGTATTATTTCATACCAGTTTATTAGGAAGATCCTTGCAGTTTTTACTAGATTTGATATAATAAGTAGATTCTTTAACGCTAATATCTCACAGAAAATATTTGATATCCGTTAATATAGGAGATTATTTGTTCTCTAGATATGCTCGTATTATTTTTTCGTGATCTGATATCTGAGTTTATCTGAAAGATAGGCTTCTCAAGTAATGTACCAGGGATATTTATGTGACTATTCAACACATTGTTGGATCTTCACGAGTTGTAAACTCAGGATAGTCAAAAAGTCTAAAATTTCTTTCTTTGTTCCCTTATATTTATAGTGTTTTGTAAGATTTCTTTCACCTTTAATATTATAATACAGTTAGCTTCGATTATATAATTAAATAATAATATTGTTCTAGCTCTTCTGAAAACGACAAGAAGACAAAGGCAGAAAAATCAAAAAATGGTCATAAACATCGCTCTCGTAGTAAAGATAGAAAAAACAAATCAGAAAAAATGTCTAATTTAAAAACAAATAGATCTATTACTCCAAAATCCCCCAAGCAGTCTTCGAGATCCCAGAAAAATGTTAAAGACAATAAATATGAAAAATATGACAAATACGAAAAATATGACAAATACGAAAAATATGACAAATATCAACGGAATAGGTCTCCAGAAAGAAAGAGAAAATCTAGATCTCGTTCAAAAGAAAGACGAGGACGGTCCAGATCTATAGAAAAACATAGGAGCTCCAGATCTACCGAACGATCCAAATGGTCACAACCTAGTACGAAGAAAAAATCTAGTTCAGTTGATCGAAGAAAAAGGTCCAGATCAAAATCGCAAGAATCCAAATATAAATCAAAGAGACCTGCAGCGAAACCACAACGCTCCAGATCGAGGTCGAAAAGATCTCGTCATAACGACAGATCTAGAAGCAGATCTCTTTCTATTTCCATTAAACGAAAACTCAAACATGATAACGTCAAGAGATCTCGAAGCAAATCAACATCTACATCTAGTACAAGAAAATCCCGTTCACCTTCAGTAGATAAGGAACGCAAACGAAAATCTAGCGCCGATTTCAATAAGAAGAAAAGAAGGGACAGGTCTGCATCTGTTGATAAAAGGAAGATGCTTCGATCGAAAACTCCAGAGAAGGAGAGAAAAAAGTCAAGGTCTGATTCAAGAGAAAAAGTTAGAAAAAGGCCGAGGTCCGAATCAGAGGACGAGGAACTAGCTGAAATTAGAAGAAGAAAGCAAAGGTATGAAGAGGAATATGCTGAAATAGCTAGGAAATTGAGATTAGGTAAGGTTGATTATTAAAAATAAACTGTAAACTTAAAGAGATAGAAAAAAAAAAGAAAATTTTATGTAGTAGACAAAATTAATTTTCGTTTGATTTATTCTCTCTGGTGACATAACACATTTAGTTTTATAAATAAAAAATTCAAATAATAGTGTAAAAATAGTCCACACTAATCTTGTAGACATCCAATATGGAATATTTAGGTGTTATAGAAGAACAGAATACAGAAGCTAACTCACTTTTGTATTTTAACTAGTGAGGTTAATTCTTGTAAAGTTTTAATTAGTATTTATTACCAATATTAGGTGTGATTACCATCTGCATTGCTTTAGTTTGTGTCTTAAAAATGAACATTTTTATTCTACAATCTGCATTTGCCGACCTATATGTCGCATTCATTAAAGATTCTGTATATGTGATATATTAACAGAATTTTCTCTTCTCTTTTTCTTGTTGTAGGACATGGTCCTATTTACATATATTTCTATCATCCAAGCTAATGTGATGTTGATGTACACCTTTTCCGGGGTCTTCCTAGGTTATTTTTGTATTAATCCGATAGTGTTATTTTTGTATTAATTTTCGTGATTTTGCCCATTTCACGATTCTTTCATTTCACGATTTCACCCTGGGTCCATTATGTCGAAATGATCTCTTCATTTGCAGATCTCACCACATTCTGGACTCCAGTTTCTCTTAATGCATCCTTATTCCTTTTTCTATATCTGAGAGAAATTCCTCTTATGGTTCTTAACACTTTCATTTCTTTAGTTCTCATCAATTTTTTTACGCGACGTTGTTAGCTCTTGTTTCCGCTGCGTGTGTTAGTACTGGCCTTACACATGCTTTATATATATATATATATATATATATATATATATATATATATATATATATATATATATATATATAAAGTAACAGGAAGGAAATCGAGAGACCTCTCTTTGATAGCAAATTAGGTGAACCGCAAATTCAAAGCCTTTTACTAGAGTCTTTGGACGACGCTAGAAGTAAGTTTTTTTTAAGTTAAGTTTATGCATCTACGGTTCACTCTTGAAAAACACTGAGACAACACTACGATACTAACTGCATATGAGACGAATTTTAATGTTAAAAGAAACATGTGCGGAGGAGGTTTTGTATGTATAAAAGATGAAATTGTAAAGACAGATATAAAAAAGAATAACTAGACGCGATAGTGTACTGTAACATCTTTTGTTTTTAATTTTAGCGGAAGAAGAAGAAAAAAGAAGAAGGGAACGGTCACTATCCAAAGATAGGAAAAAAAGAAACAGATCAAATTCTCGTGAAAAGAGATCCAGGTCATTGGAAAGGAGAACCAAAAAGACTGATAGGTATGCTGTTTTCATATCTAAAATTAATTTTTTTATTCTTCGTAAACTGTGAAAAGAATTTCCTGCCTTATAATTTACCTTCAGATCATGGTCCGTGAATATTTCCTTTGTAATTGCTTTTTGGCGAAAGCCCATTTATGATCCCTTCAGACCCATAAGAACCTGATCTTCGACATTTCTGGGACCCAGGCTGCTTCAGGCTCCCATATCTGCTAGAATCAGCAGGAGCTCCAAATCTGAACTTCCTAACGTCCAATTCTTTAGTAACCTTGTGGCCTCACAGAAAGCCACAAGTCTCTTTGGCGGAACTCCATCATTTGACTCAGTTGCGTAAAAGCCGAACGCAGGATCTGCCACCTCTATTAGACCAGTGCCGGGCACTTCCAGAGGACATGTTTCCTCCTCCTCGTCACAGATGACACCGTGGGCTATCCGCCAATCCAAGCATATGTAGGTACCGAATGAGTCTAGTGACTGGTAAGCGTACTGACCACCAGAGAACATTTGGTGGCATTCCACGGTCTAGAAGGAGAAGTCAGACTTTTGGATCCCTGTCTCGTACCTCCACAATTGGCTTAGAAATCCTGGAATCTCCGCAAAAGAAGCTTGTGACTACCCCGACCTGTACTGAAGAGCACTCCAATCACAGGTTCGGGTTTCACAGGCAGAGCGAATGAGCCTCGTCCTGCCAGGGCGCCAGCTCGTTCGTTCCTTTTCACACATGTGTGTCCCTGTACCCAGTACCCATATCAAATTAATCTCATTAATCACCTCATTAAAAATAGGAACTAAAATCGATTTTCACAGTTGCTTGCCTACGAGCTAGTGCATGCACTGATATAACGCATGCCAAAGTTTATTCTTTTATCATTTACATATTTTAGTAAATGATTTCAAAAGTGGGAGTTTTCGGACTGTTTAATATATGAATCGATTTTTTTACTTTTTTTTTACAGTGTACTTACATCTTCTGATATCGTTTCATCTACGAACCGTGTTTTACTCTAGATAATTTGTAATAGTAGTTACTTCTTTCAGCAATTCCATCTGTGCGGTATTAAATTTATTTCAATAACATGTATATATATTTTAGGCGTGAAATAAGAACTTCACGGAGTAGATCACCAATCCATAGTCGAAGCAGATCGAGAAAAAGTCATAGTCCTAAACGACGTAGTTGTTCTCCGGATCCCAGACATTCTCCCAAAGATAAATCTAGGCACATAGAATCAGAAGATAAAATAAAAAGTCAGATTAAAGCATTAGTCAAGAACATTTCAAGTAAGGAACGAGTTTCATCATCTTTTGTAGATAAATCTGATATTAAAGCATCACAGAAATACTCAAAGGATAGGTCTACAACACCAATGACAAAAAAGGACTCAAGGAGTAGAAGCAGTGACAGGAACGAGAGCATTGCCAGAAAAGAAAGTAAAACCAAGAAATGTTATTCCCCCAAAAGTCCAACCAAGAAATCTTTAACACCTGATATGGCAAAAGAAAAGGTTAGGAAGTATTAACTTATCTTTTTTTAATGTAGTTGCTTTAATTGAAGTGATTATCGATCCTGATAAAGAATTAAGATCGAAAATGATGCTATCAGAATGCTAGCAGAATTTTTAGAAAATTCCTTTGTGAAGTGGTATACAGGAAATTGCATATTTCCCATATGTCCCCATAGCATATAGAGTTTATGTCTAAAGTTTCAAATACATGAGTGGTCAGTTTAGCTTCTACTTAAAACTACAATTAATATTTAAGTGTTTAATTATGTTATATTTTAGGCTAAAAAGAAATCCACAGAAAAGCCAAAAACGAAAAAACCGTTACCAGTAGTCCGACTACGGTCTTCCTCTAGTGAAGGTGATGTATCAGGACCGGAGGTAGAGAAAGAGAAAGAAGATGAGAAAGACGACAAAGAACTTCGATATCTGCGACTGTTAAAATCTGATCTAGCAGCGAAGGCAAAAGAAAGTCTGGAACGAAAGAAAGAGAAACCTCCTAGTCCGAAACCTATTGTCAAAAGGCACATAGAACCAGATTTTTTTGATATTAAAGTTTTACCTTTAAGGAATGGTAAGGCTCCGAGCCCGTCAGTAGCTGGTAAAGACAATGTCGATATCCACATGAAGATTAGTAAATCAAGATCAAGATCGAAAAGTCGTTCTAAAGAAGAAGGTAGAACAAGTAAAACTAAATCGAAGTCAAGGAGTTCATCTAGATCTTCACTAAGGTTAGTAATAAATTGTTTGTGGGTTACTAAAATTTTTTTTATATACACAAGGTACATAAACAACGACCATTATGAAATGATAACATATTTTGATAACTTTTTTTGTTTATGGCCCAATTTTGATAATTTTTTGCATAAGTAGAAGAAAAATCATCCACCCATTAATGCATATACTCTGTTCACTGATTCCACCTTAAACTATCTGGACAATGCAGTTGTTTTGTATAAAACTTCAGAGGTAGCTGAATTAATATAGTTAAAGAATAGAGTTAAATGAATTTAGATAATAATAAAGGAGAAAAAATGCAATATTTTGTTTGTAAATAAATTATCGAAAAATAGCAAATACAACTGTGAAGAAATTACGAAATTAACTAGCCTTACTCATTATTGTTGTCTGTACAAAGAATGTAGACTTAACTTTTGGTATATTGATGTATTCGTAGCCCATGTGTAGCGTTGACCATCGCGCCGTAGGGGACGAGCCTTAAACGAGGACTTAACCGATACACTCGATGATATGCTTACTGTATGTGGTCTCGTGATGAAGTGTGTTTGTCTTGAGACTTAAGATGGTCAGAAAGAACCCTCTAACCGTTACGTGGTAGTCCGTATATCAAGAGGGTATACCAATAAATCCCTCTATTATATTGCGATTTTGAATGGCGATAATCTAATTCAATGGTCACAGTGTAACACGACACTTCACACTTGTGTGTATTGGAGACACAAAAATAACAAAAGAAGTCAAATTCTCCGTACTTAAAACATAATAAATGGGATAGCCAGTTTAACAATTTTATGAAATAATCGGAAACAATATATGTTGAAGCAAATAAGTTAGAATATGCCATTCAATCAGAGCATATTATAATATAGGAAAAGTAAGTAAAAAAATATAAAACTATGAAAATAAATACAACATACTTTCCCAAACAGCAGTAATAATTTTCTTGATACTTTGAACAAATTTTAGTTTGGTGTGGAAGTGGCTGGAAATTACTATAGAACCAAGCACACGTGCTTATAACTAATATTAATTTTAACTGAAAAGCAAGAAGTTATTAACATGCAGTTTATTAATTATATAAATATATATATATATATATATATATATATTATATATATATATATATATATATATATATATAGTAAACTCTTAAATATTGGGGAAATCTGCAAGAAAGACTCTAATGAGTATCAATTGTTTCGCCGAACGTTTTCGCCAAAGAGAATTAATTTGGCTTCTTCAGGACTGAAAGAGAATAAATTATAATTAGCTACCATATATTATCTATTAAAAAATATTATTGATCTTACCGTAACTTAGAATTGTTGAGTTAGGATGTTAAAAAACTTAGCTAGTAACAACATAGTGGTGTTTTTTTTGTTACTATGTACAAAAAAAATTTTTTTAACGTTGGCAATGTATGGTAGCTTTGAACTTAAAACGCAAAGGTTTACCCAAGGTTAATCGAAAAACCCAATGTAACTACATTTAAAAAGGAAGTAATTCTTTGGATTGTCGGCAATAACTAAATTTTTGATTGTTAGAAAGTTTAAATGTGATGTGTTAGAATGTTTTATTAGAACGCATGTGCTGACAATTCAAGTAGTGCTTTTGAATCATTATGTCGTTAAGTGTTGGTAAAACCGAATGAAGTTAAATCATAGTTTTTGGAAATATTATTTTAGATTTTCTTAATTGAAATTATTTTTTTAATTATATTATATTGTTCATGTATTATTATAATAATATCTTATTGAGATGTATCTAAGAAAAGCAAGGGAATGTTATATTTTTTAGTTAATGAAAATTATTATTAAAGTACGTTAGTTGTTAATGGATATATATGAAGAACAATACAACATCACAGATAACTAACTTGACTGATATATCCATTAACAACTAACCTACTTTAATAATAATTTTCATTAACTAAAAAATATAACATTCCCTTGCTTTTCTTAGATACATCTCAATAAGATATTATTATAATAATACATGAACAATATAATATAATTAAAAAAATAATTTCAATTAAGAAAATCTAAAATAATATTTATCCAATCTGGGATTTAACTTCAGAACAGAACCTCACATTTAAACTTTCTAATAATCAAAAATTTTGTTATTGCCGACAATTCAAAGAATTACTTCCATTTAAATGTAATTAGATTGGGTTTTTCGATTAACCTTGGGTAAACCTTTGCGTTTTAAGTTCAAAGCTACCATACATTTCCAACGTTAAAAAAAACTGTTTGCACATAGTAACCAAAAAGCACCACTATGTTGTTACTAGCTAAGTTTTTTGACATCCTAACTCAACAATTCTGAGTTACGGTAAGATCAATAATGTTTTTTAATGGATAATATGAGTGGCTCAGTTCCATACTTGCCTAAGCCACATTTTCATTATAAGTCAGAAAGTTGATGTAAAGTAAATTGGCGATAATAAAAAAAAGCACTCGATGTAGAAACATTTTAATATATTTTGTAAATAGACAAGATTTTACTTAAACTAAAGGTTATACAAAGAAAAATTAAATATGAACACGTGAATCATACTTTTGATAAAAACTTGTAGGCAACTTTGGCGCTAACACTAACATTCAAATAAGTAATACAGTTATTGGCTAGGCAACGATAAAGTAGGTCGATAAATTGTTTTATTAATCATTTTCAACATTAGACTCAATTGAATCTGCAGTTGGTTCTTCAATGATCCCTGATTGAAGCGATATATAAAAATTGTGATGTTCTGGAGATCGATTAAAGAAAAAAAAAGAAAGAAAAAATCTTTCTTTTTTTTCCTATGTAATAGGTCGTCCATGGGGATACAACAATGGTAGTTCAAATTACGGATCTACCACGACCAACTCTTTTTGTTAAATCAAATTTACTAAAGAGATCATCATTTTCGACACAATTGTATTTATACTACATCGTTTTGGGCTCCTTTTTGCGTAGTTGTATCCATCTGATTTTGAGCCATTCTACTTTTTCCTTCTCTGCAGATATTTTTCGGTAAGTTATAGACTCTTCCAAACTTCTTGTAGTAAAAAAGTGATCTGCTGTCATCTGATGCACAACAAATTTTGGTGTTTTCTTTTTAGCCGTTTTAATTACATTCATCCAATCATTTGGATAAAAAATTTGAGGATGATACTTTTTCTCTCTTTCTATTACACCAAAATGTTGATCGCAGCTAGAAAAGCTATGGCCAGGTATAAAAAATTTTAAATTGATTTTTTCAATTTCCGAATTTTAATGGTAAGCGGTTCTGAATGTGATAAATAAGACAGGACGCTACTTCTTGGGCTCCTGGAAGCTGTGTGTTCGCCCCAAACATGCATGTGGCCAACATTATTTACCTCATCATGGATACCGAGATTGTACACCCAGAGTTGTTGCTTGTAATATACTACACCAATTGATAACATTGGTGTAGGTAAAGTTGTTTGAAGGTCAAAAACCCTAACTTGTTTTGTTCCATTGCTAGATCTAGCTTCATCTGGATCTTTTTTTTCCATATCTCTTACAGCATCTGCTCACCGCAAATGAAGTTCATATTGAATCTTAGCATTAGTATTATCTGTGCCAATAGTACTAGTTTATGCCTTAAATTCGTCACAGGTTTGACACGTGTCTTTGTGTGGTTGATGAAAATGTAAGTTAAATTTACTATTGAATATGTATCGAAACATATACAGTGATACTGCTTATACATGAGTTTCATATTGAGCTCGGGATTTAGATACTTTCAATTACTATCCCTTTGACAATAATGACGAAATGAATGGAAATATCTCAATAAAATTACATACTCTTTGCTCATCCTCTAAACTGCTCTTATTGTGAGGTACATGTTTTCCTCGTCGATCAAGCACAGGAATACCGGTTTCTTGCGTTCTCTTCAATGCATTGAATAAAGTGCCATCGCAGGCTGCTAGAGTTCCTAAAAAACTTTTTACAAACTACTTTATTTTCGCCGCTATCATCTTAAAGAATGTATTTTTTCTCTACGACTCTCTATCTTTCGGGTTTTTTCTCTACGACCATTTTCCTTTTTTGTGTATTTCCTGGAAGCGTGTTAAACTTTTATCTGACCACCGGGGAATGATTGCTTTATGTCCAATTCATACTGTAGAATCCTTCAAAAATTTGCTTTCTTCTAGCTTGCGGTATTTTTTGTAAACAGCGAAGGTGGCATTCACAATCTGTCATATCACATTTCTTATTTGAGACGAGTTTTCCTGTTGTGGAAACATATTCTTGACCATGAGCACGTTTCTCTTTTCTTATGCATTTTTTATGCGTTTGTGGTTTTCTTATCCGTTTTCGCCCATTCTGCAGATTATTTGGATTTCTAATCGCATTCTGTTCATCTTGACTCTCATCTAGAGAAAAAAAAATAGAAATTAGATTCTCTAAAAATAATTTAGAAATTTAAAATGACTAAAATGTTTCAAGGGACACTCACAATGTATTCAGGGCCAGACATGCCTATCCAACAAAATTACTTAATGCGACCCAAATACAATAATAAAATATGTGCAGAGTCACTAACAATAAACTAAACCAAACTATAAATGGTAAAATGATATTTTGCATTGATTTAAAATAAGATTTTAATACTTTTCATCAAAAATATTATGCCTAACTTGATTTATTAGTTTTTGTTCTGAGTAAGACAATATATATGCCTAACTTTCATTTTGTTTTTAGGCAAGAAAGACAATTACGTAAAGTGAAAATAAAAAAATTATACAGTAAACACATTAATCTTACCTGTACTTTCGTCATCTGGCACATAGTTTTTGTCGTTATCACTATCGTCACTTGATATGTCTGATAATGTAAACGTCTCGTTGCTTGCCGACGCCATGTTTAGTGATTTAGGCAATGACTGGCTTAAACTGTGTCCAAGCAAGATTTGTTTGCTAAAGTTGCTCATAGGTGTCAGCCTTGCTTTATGTTAAATATCGGGATAGGTATCTTTGGCACAGACAGATAAGATCATTTTAAAGCGAAAGAGCACAAAAGCGCGAAATGCGAAAAATTGTGGGTTAGGCAAGTATGGAACTGAGCCACTCATATATGGTAGCTAATTATAATTTATTCTCTTTCAGCCCTGAAGAAGGCAAATTAATTCTCTTTGGCGAAAACGTTCGGGCGAAACAATTGATACTCATTAGAGTCTTTCTTGCAGATTTCTCCAATATTTAAGAGTTTTACTATTTAACGTATCTTCAAAGATTAAGTTTCTTATATATATATTATATATATATATATATATATATATATATATATATATATATATATATATATATATATATATAACGGAGCTTTGAGGTTTATTGGGATTTATTCAGCGGTGAAATAAGTGTACTCTTTTAACTAAGTTTCAAGCTTTCGAAAATGTTTATTTTCATCATCAGGAAAAAACTGAAAATAAAGTGCGACTGTTAGTAAAGCATCTTCGAAATTAGTTATAGTGAATGGTTGTAAAATTCGAGAAAAAACTTACGTTAGTGAGGTTCGTCTTTCGTGGATGTTTCACTTACAGGTGACAATTTTACGCACCACTCATTAATTGAGTCAACATTTAAAATATTTAAAATATATAAAAATTGCATGGTGTAAAAGACCAAACTTGGTAAATTATTATACTTAAACACATAAGAAAAAGACAGTTAAAAAGTTTCAAACGGCCACGTGTGCCGGCCAACTGTTGAATGATAGGTTAAGAGTAACTGTCATTCCTGGACATGGCAAATGACAGTACTTCTTCTTATTTCTTTGTCTTATGTGGTACTACTATTATTCCACATCAAATTTTAACAAAGGTTGTATTAGAAAAACAGAATTTTATAATGAAACTGTGAAAAAACAAAGAAACCTGGAAACTTTACAATGAATCAGTCGTTGAAACATCTTCATTTGATGTGATGTGATGAACTCATTATTTTAAGTTTTATGCCTCATGAAATATGTTGAGGAACAGTGTATAATAATCATAAATCTATACTACATTCATCCCAATTGATCCATATATTTAGCTTAATCATGTAACTATCACTATGCAAAACTCGTATTGTTATAATGTATTTTATTTTATTAGTTCGAAGCATGGAAGAAGCAGGTCCTTGTCGTCAACCTCTAGCAAGTCTTGTTCTAGGTCGAGATCATATTCGAGATCGAGAAGTCGGTCTGCTTCATCAAGCTCTAGCTCTAGTTCTAGTTCAGCTAGATCTAGATCACCGTCTATTCCCAGAAGGCATGGTTCGCCTAGTTTCTTAGATAGGCGAAGAATTACCAGGTAGATTAGAATATTTAGTGATAGAAACACCATGCACAACTTACAGAATTCTTCAAAATTGGTTATATATTGGTATATTTGTGGTTAAGATAAATTCTTAGGTTATTACTGAAAAATCTAAATATGTTGCATTTTTTTTATTTTTATATATAATATATCTATATTTTTAATATATTGTCTTGTCGAAAACCAAGTCATAATACATACGCATCAAAATAAAAAATGGGGGATTCCTAGGTTTTGGTAAACTCTTGTAGACTTGGAAAGTACAAGCACAAAGCTAGTTGATTACTTAGGACTATATAATAACTGTTCTCAATATATAGTATTATGCGAATTAATGAAATCATTGTGACATTTTTGATATTCACAATTGCAACACTGTCCAAACATTTCCAACTGTCCAAGCAATGAAAAATATTTTCTTCTCCATTACTGAAGGTTGGCCACAACTACAGCAAATTGCTCTCTATCTTGAGCTGTTCTTAGTATCGAATATGTGTCCATACCTGTTCAGTCTCTTACATTCTTTAACCAAGAGCATTTTCTTCTTCCTGGACCTCTTCTTCCTTCCACTTTCCCTTCCATTATAAGTCGTAGGAAGTTGTATTTTTCTCCTCTGTAAATATGTCCTAGATAATTCGTTTTCCTGTTTTTTTACAATATTTAGGAGTTCTCTTTCAGTACCCATTCTTCTTAGCACCTCGTTGTTGGTCACGTGCTCTGTCCAAGAGATTTTCAGCATCCTTCGAAAAACCCACATCTCAAAGGCTTCTATACGCCTTATACTTGTAATTCCGAGAGTCCATGTTTCCACACCGTATAGCAATATGGAATAAATAAACGTTTTTACAAATTGGTATCGGATATCCAACGATAACGTAGAGTTTATTAGGAATTTTTTCATTCGTTGAAATGCGGACCTAGCATATACTATACGAGCACGTATTTTGACCTCGTGGTCAAGATCGTTTGTTATCCAGCAACCAAGATACTGGAATCTTTGTACTGGTTCTATATGTTTGTTATAGATACGAATATTAATGACGACATTTTGTGCACGTGTAACAGCCATTACTTTTGTTTTATTTGTGTTTATATTTAGTCCCAAGCTATCTCCCTCTCTGGTTATGAAATTCGAAAGTCGTTGTAAACCCTCAGCACTGTCCGCAATAATGACGGTGTCGTCTGCGTATCTTAAATTGTTTACGTATTCTCCGTTGATTTTTATTACTTCTTCAATATTTTCGAGGGCATTTTAAAAGATCTTTGTGGAATATAAATTAAATAACAGTGGGGAAAGTACACAGCCCTGACGAACTCCTCTTGTTATTGGCAATTCTGCTGTCAGACGATTGTCTATTTTGATCGACGCTATTTGATCCCAATATAGTTTTTTAATAAGTGCTACAGTGTTATGGTCTATACCATGTAGTCTTAGGGTTTCTATGAGTTCTGTGTTATACTCTATCAAACTCCCTTGTCTCCCTTGTCTCTCTGTCTCCCTTGTACCAAGCCCAGTGAAATCATAACTTTACTTTTCTCTGTCTTTTTTTTGAGAGTGTTTTAGAATATTTCCCATAACCTTTCTTTTCTCTAACTTTTATTTGAGAGTGTTTTAGAACATTTCCCACTAGTTTATGTTATTTTCTACTACATATTTTGTGTTGTTCTAGATTATTAGTGAGTTTATTTCGTTTAATTCTATCATGGATATTACGCCTAGGAAGCGTAAAAAGATTATCACGTTAAGTGAACATACTTCTATGTCACAAAGAGAAATCGCAAGAACGTGTGGAGTGAGTCAGAGGGTAGTAAGCAATATTTTGAAGCGTAAACGAGAAACGGAATCAATGAATGTGAGAAGGTTAGGAAAATGGAAGGAAGAGCAAAGTAACACCAGCAGATGAAAGGTTTTTACTTCGAAAAAACAAATTGGACCCAAGAAAAACAAACCAAGAGCACCAACAAGATCTAACAGCATCGCATCAGATGTAGTGATTCATGACTCAACTGTTCGGAAAAGACTTTTGGAGCATGGTAAAGGGCAATGCGTCCACAGAAAAAACAACTTGTAACTAAACGAATGAAGAAACGGTTATTGTGGGCCAAAAAAATACACTAATTGGACTGTAGACGACTGGAGAAAACTCCTATTTACAGATGAAACTCACTTTATGGTTCAGGTACAGTGGTCGAAATTAATCAGGAAGTCTGACAATGAAAACCTTACACCATCTCATATTGATCGAACCGTAAAACATCCAGTCAAGGTTTTTCATACATAAGGGTTGGATCTTTGGTACCAATCGAAGACGTGATGAACAGCCAAAAATACAAATCCATGTGGGAACAGCGTTTGGACACAGAACTCCAAAAACTTCAGCCCCAAGGAGAAGAGATTCTTTAACAGAACTCTTGTTTCCTGTCAAAAGTCAAAGCAAATGATGAAATTTTTTGAAAATAAGAAGATGATGTTTTAGATTGGCCCGGTATTTCGCCAGACCTCAACCTTATTGAAAATTTATTGGCCATTTGCAAAGCTATATTGCGCAAAATCGACTGTACTACAAAAATAAAAACAAAAATAAAAAAGCGGTCATTCAGGTTTGGTTTCGAGGTGAAACGATATCTGGAAACTGTCAGAAGCTCGTAGAATCTATGCGGAAACGGGTAAAATAAGTAATTGCATCCAAAGGGGGATATATTTCCTAATAAATGATGTAAGTTTACCTTTGTAATTTTGTCAAAATATAATTTTTTTCTAAATAAACTGTTTTTTCATTAAAACAGCCTATGATTCCATTATATCGCACAGTACTGTAATAATATAGTAATACCAGTTATTATATAGTTTATATTATACAGATCGAAAACATAGCAAGCTTTACAAGCTTAAAAATATTAATAATTCATTATTAAAATTGAACTAAAGGAAAATAGAAAGAAAATAGGAAAGTATTTCAAATTTTATAAGTGTGGTGTGTTTTTTTATACGTTCATTGCAAGAAAATTATCATCTGTACCGAAACGCCTGTTGCGATAAAAGCATTATTACGCGTATTGGTTGATATAATATTAACACGTTTATTACCGTCATAAGTTTTTCAGTTGTCCTCAAATGGCCAATTTTTTTTCACACTTATTGCCCAGTTGCTGTAGAAGTAATCGGCAATGGATGTGTTAATATAAACAATATCTCTCTCTCTCTCTCTCTCTCTCTCTCTCTCTCTCTCTCTCTCTCTCTCTCTTGTCGTTCCCCATTACTGAGGATCGTGATTTCTTCCAATATTCCTAACAATTTTTCTCCATTGGTCTCTATCTTCAGCTGCTCTGAGAGCTTCGCAGAATGAGCTTCTAGCTGAATTCTTAATTTGGTCGGACCATCTAGTTGGTGATCGTTCTCTTGATCTTCTCCCCGGAACGTTTCCAGAAACAATTAATCTCTCCAAACTATTGTCACCTCTGCTAACCATGCTTGTGGACAGCCTTGTCTTCCATAGTGTGGAATCTGTCTACCGCCATTATATTTGTCTTAGTCTTATTGATTTTCACACCAACTTTATTGATTTGGTACTCAACTCTTTGCAAGAGATTAAACATATCTTGCTCATTTGCTGCTATAAGTGTAGCTTCTAATCTAGTCGTACGGTTGCTATATTGGACTGGTACAGATTTTTAATGTGTCACCAGGTGCATTGGTGTGCCCATTTCTATTAAAATGAACCATAGATTTCTCCAGCTTACACAATCAAATGCGTTTTGGTAGTTAACGGCATATAATCATAGGTACTTGAAATTCTTTAGACTTTTCAATGAGTTGTCTCAAGTTCAGGATTTGTTCCCGTGTACCTTTACCCTTTACAAACCCAGATTGTTCTTGTCTATAAACAATATATGTTTTTATTATTAAATCTTGGAATAACAGTAGGTATGATGTGTAATAAAAGAGTGATTGTGAAATAGTTATTTATAGTAACAAAATTGTTAAGTAATAATACAGATTGCCGGAAAACGAAGATATAAATGAAAATAAAACGTTATAGGAAATGATTATAAATGAAAATGAAACGTTATTTTGCGGGAGCCCATCATGTACATATCTTCAAGGCAGCCATTCGGTGACATATTCCTGTATTTTACTTCTACCGACACATAGCCATACTCTCCCGCACATGTCAAATGTTGTCTACCAGGCAGGTGTAAAATCGTATTAAAGAAAACCTGCATTTTTAAGTTTGTGTGTTTTTTTAATTAACAATATTCTGCTCAAATCTCAATTTGTCTCAAATATATTTTTTTTATCAACATATTTCGATTAACGTGTAGTAAAATTTTAAACCCAATAAAATAATTTTTTTTATTTCATTTAATACTAAATCAAATTTCAATTTCAGTTGATAGAACCTCGCTAGCAACTTTTAGTGAGGTCTTCGATTTTGGGTTGAGACAAAACAATTTTAAAAATTTTATACAAATACTATTCAAAATGGTCTTCTCAACAATACTTATACACGCTTTTATGTATTTCTATTGTTGTCTGCTATTGATTTTATTTATGATTATCTTTGTCAATAATATTCTTAATAGTCACTATTTACAAAATTAGTTTTTAATAGTAAAATGACTCCGTACAACTGGAAATAACTTTATATAACTAAATTGGTAGTATGATTATTTCGGCTTTATATATGGCCAATTTACCGCGAAGTAAGACAACGCTAGCAACGAATTCTGTGCCATAAAAAATATAATGAGTTTCAGTCCATATTTGTGTACGATATCAAGACCAATATATAAACTAAACATAAATGTTTTATTACATATAAATAATTTTGAAGAATTCTGAATTCAGTTTTTATTTTGTTTCATTTTAGTAGACCTTATTATTTTGCTTATATTTTATTTTTTTATTTCAGACACAGGTAGTTTGGAAGTGTTGAGACGATTTTGTTTAAAAAAGGCGTTTTTCTATAATTATGTGTTTTTAATATACATGCATACGTATATGAAATAAATATTGTTAATTTCTTTTTGTTTTACTTTTTTGCTTCTAGTTTCCGTTAATATTATTATTGCATTTTGTTTCTTAGTGCTAAGTAGATCAACAGGTAAGTTGCATGATATAATTTTTTTTTTTAGACTAAAACGGTTTTTTCAAGAAATAGATTAGATAATCTTTCTTTCTTTAAATAGATTAGATAATATATTATTATGTTCACCAGCATAACCTCGTTATACAGGAAAGTGTATTACATAATTCAAAAGAACATACCCATATTTTTTAGTAAATTGTTGGCCATATAAAATGAAATATTTATGAAAGATATGAAATATTTTAGACGAAGATCTGGAATTTCTTAATATAGTTAAGTATATCGTAACTACCTGTACCCTAATATAGTACTACCTCGGTATAACAAATCTGAAGGCTCCGAAAAAAATTTGTTATATCGGGAATTTTTCAATAACGGGGTTCGTTATATCGAGGTTAATTGCGGCCAATATTCGTTATAAAGGAGTTCTTAAACCTGAATTCAAACCTCTATAACGAATTTCTCATCACTTAACCTCAGTTTAACAAATAATGATTTACAGAATAACTGTTGACCTGTGTCTTAACTTGGAAAGTACGCTACCAAAAACAAGGGAAAAATCTAAATATTTTTGAGAATAACGTAATTTATTTGACAAAGTTAAATTCGTGTTGGAAAAACACGTGTTGGTTGTTTGCCTTATTGTGTTAGGTTATCCATTTCACAATCCAGTACAGTGATAGATTTAACAACACCATCATTTAAAAGCATTTTTTTACAAAATAACACTGTAACACATTTAAGGGCACCTCTTGCGTCCTTTGATGTAAAATCTGGTTGACTAACGAGTTCTTCATCCACGTCGTCTTCTGCTTCTTCTACTGTTTCTTGCTGCCCTGCCACGGAAGATACGATTTCAGCATCAGTGAGCTCTCCACAGATTGCAACAAACTCTCCAAACTGACAAACTCTTCAAAATCCAAGTCCACGTTTAAAGCCTCTCTCACTCTCGTCCAACATTCTTCAATTGGTTCTGGTTGTTGAACTTCTGGATTGTCCTCATCTTGGTTTTGGTCACGATCATTCACTTGAAAGTTGCTTTTCTTGAAACAGTTGACAATAGTTTTATCGTTAACATTGTTCCATGCCTTTGTAAATACCCACATAACATCTAAGACACTAATTTTGGTTGGAGATTGGCATTCCAAGTCGTTCAAGAATTGACGGACAACCTCCCTTCTGTACTTGGTTTCGAAATTGTGTATTATTCCTTGATCAAGCGGTTGGAGTTTAAACGTTGTGTTTAAAGTCAGTAACTGAACTTTAATGCTTGTTAGCACCGGAATATCTCCATGTACAGTGCAATTGTCGATAAATAAAAGAATGTGTTTCTTCTTCATCGCGTTGTTGGTTTATTTCAGCCAGTCACCGAAGACGTCTCCGGTCATCCACGCTTTTTTATTAGCTGTACAGTCTGTTGGTAAGGTTGATACGCTTTTGAAACATCTGGGTTTTGTTGATTTTCCTATGACTAGAGGTTTCAGTTGATCTGTACTCGATGAGTTAGTGCAGAGTAAGACTGTCAAACGATCTTTGCTGTTTTTTGCCCCCTTTGCAAGGGTCTCCTTTTAACACTAACGTTTTGTCCGGTAGGCGCTTAAAAAAGCCCTGTCTCATCAGCATTGTAGATATCATCTGCATTGTATCCACGGGACAAGTCTGGCAATTTAGCTTCCCAATCTTCGCTAGTTACATCATACACGGCAGCACTTTTACCACAAACTTTTTTGAAACTAATTTCGTCTCTTTTTAAAACCGATCCAACCAGCCATTACTAGCTCGAAAGTCTGCATGCCCTAATTTTTCTGCAAATTGTTGAGCCTTTTCTTGGAATATGGGACCTCCAACGGGTACATTTTATCAAGGCACTTTAAACCGCTTAATTACAGCTTCTTCGACATCCTGTAGCTCACCATTCTTAGCCTTTTTGCAAATTTTGGACAGTCCACCGTCAACTCCGTACTTTTCTTTATTTTTTATTATTGCGGTTAATGTGGAGGGAGTGATGCCAAAGTTCTTGGCAATCTCAAATTTCTTCTTTTTGGTATTTTCTTCAACAAATTGTATCAGTTTACGTTTAAATTCTTACACTTCGATGTACCGTACGATAATAACAAATCAACCATTAGGTACTGATCACAGTGTAAACACAGTGTCAAGGTCAACACTGCACTGACTGACTTGGTTCTAGGGGAAAGGGGTGGGAAGCAGGTCATATTGTTTTCATGTCTGGACTTGTCCGTGAGTCACCACAATCTATATTAAACTACGCTAAACCGAGGTTTGGAACGCAGAAATGCGTAACACAGGGGTTCGTGCGTTATGTAGGGGTTTGCTAGACTCAATATTCACTATACAGGGGTTTTAATTTATTTCCGCAAATCGTAAAAATTCGTTATATAGAGGATTAAAACCGAAATAGTTCGTTATATAGGGGTATTTTTTACCTTCAGTGTTATGGCCGTTTGAAGGGGATTTAAAAAAAATATATCGGGGTTCGTTATATCGGGACTGCCCTGTATATATGATAGGATGTATTTAGAATATGTAAAGTATCTACATTTTAACGTCTTCTAGCATAGCTCTAATGGTGGTTTTAAGCCGAAACCAACAATTTAGAAAATTAGACATAGGTATGACAGACTTCAAAAATAAATATTTCCTTGACTTCCTTAAGTACCTTCATGAAAAATATTCTTTACCTTGCCTTACTACCTTAATTACCTACAGTAATAATAATGATTAAAATAATATAAGAACGTGAGTTTATTTCTATATTTATTTATGAGCCGGTCTCTTGATTATTTTTCTTGAAAAAACTTTTAATACCTTTTTTATAATATTATACATATAATGTAGTTTTGATATTTTTCTGGTAGTAGCTTTTTACAAGCAATTGGTATAATGAGTTTATTATTATTCATAAGAGTTTAATGAATTAAATAAAATATTTTCGTCACTATTATAAAAATGTGTCATTATTAATTCGACATTAGCTAAATAATGATAGTGAAAGCATTTAAGTTCAATATGCTTTTACTTACTTAATAGCACTGTACTTTGATATTTAATAGTAAACAAATTCATAGTTATATGCCTTGATGTGAAAATTAAATTAAATGCAGACATGTTTTGTGTAAAATTTAATGTTATTTCATGTGTACACATGAACAAAAACAAATTGGTCATATTATTTAAACAGTGTTGTAAGTGGCGCCATATAAAGTCAATAAGAAAACTGATAAGATTTTCTAATGCATGCTCAAATAAATAATAATGCTATACCAAATTTCATTTAAATCAATCATCATATCTACAATATTTAGGTCACTGTATGATCTCTCGTTCTTGAGTAAATGTATGTATATGAAATGTATTTCATATCAGTTTATGTGTCTGAAATCTATTCCCATCGTTTCTTGTGTAATCATAACTTCTTATATTTGTCTATCTAATGTTACCCCCTTTTTTATTCCCTATTGAGTCTCCAAATTTCATGTTTTGTCTATTTTAAGGCAAATATATCAATAATTTAAATATTTTTGGTAAAAAGCAATATTTTTGGTTAAGCAGTTCCTTGCTTTCAGCCAACTCTTTTATTTTCTTCAATATTTTCCCGTGTTCTTACTTTTTTCTGTTTCGCTATAACATCATATTTCATTCTTATCAGATACAGCACTTTTAATACTCATTACTAAACCCACTTTGCACGATTCAGTGTTTGTATAAAGGTCGTGGCATATTATCATACACTTTGCGTTTCCGGTACATAACGTTTCGGGTCGAGCAAACGGACTGCGCGTTCACATTTTCATACATAGAGCGTTTCAGTTTGATGCGGTTTGGACTGCGTGTTCACATTTTCATACATACAACGTTTCAGTTTGATGCGGTAAAGATGTGTTCTCGCTTTTCGCGTCAAAAATTATGTGCAATTGCTCTTCTACTTGATGATGAAGAAAGAAAAACTGTAGTAAAAAGGAGGTTTGGAGTACATCCAATGTTAAGAGAAAGAAAAAAGGAAGGTGAATACTGGACTTTATAAAAAGAATTAATTCATGACGATGAAAAATATTATGGATATTTTAGAATGAATAGGGTTCAGTTTGAATATATTTTAAATTTAATTACACCTTTAGTTAAAAAACAAAATACTACATTTAAAGAAGCCATAACACCTAAAGAAAAATTAGCTGTGTGTTTAAGGTAAGTTAAAGCAAAATTTTCTATTAACAAAATTAACTCATTTATTTCTTAAAAATAAAGTATGAACAAACGAATCCTACTTAAAAAAATTAATATTAGTAACATAAATTTTTATATACAGGGTGTCCCAAAAGTAGCGGAACGGTCGAATATTTCGCGAAATGAACATCGGATCGAAAAACTGAAAAATACGTTATTCAATCATTTTCAAAAATCTATCGAATAGAGACCAAAAACGACTCCACACTCCAACCCCTAGAGGTGAGGTGGGGACTACCTTTAAAATCTTAAAGAGAAACCCCCATTGGTTATTGCAGATTTGGATTCCTCATGAAATATAAGTAACATTTATTCGAAACATTTTTTAGAATTGTTTATAAATGGCGCTATAATCGAAAAAACACAATTCATCAGCGCCATCTATCAACAATTCTAAAAAATATTTCGAATAAATGATATTTAATCTTTCACAAGGAATCCAAAACTGCAATAAAAAACGAAGTTGATACTTTAGAATTAAGAGCCCACCTCCAGCGTCTGGAGTGGGGTTTGGTGTCATTCGATAGATTTTTGAAAATGATTGAAAACGTCTTTTTCAGTTTTTCGATCAAATGTTCATTTCGCGTAATATTGGACCGTTCCGTTGCTTTTGGGGCACCCTCTGTAATTAAAAAAACATCAGTCGTTTTGAGAGGGGGGTCGATTGCCTCCATCGCCCTTTCCTGGATC